ACGCCCGTCGGTGCGGGTGCGGGTGCGGGTGCGGGTGCAGGTGCGGGTGCGGGTGCGGGTGCGTCGGAGGCGGGAGCCGGAGCGGCCGCGGTAGTGGGGGGGCCTCCGAACGGCGACGGCTTGTCGGCGTTCTTCGCTCCGAAGCTGAAGCTTGCGGGACCGCCTACGGGCGCTCAACTCCGCCTCGAGACGCGCCCCCCTCTCCAGGCCCTCTCCGGGCGCCCCTCGGGCGGCGACGCGACCGCCTCCAAAGCCGCCGCCGCCGCCAAAGCTCGGCGCGGCGGGCTTGCTCGCGTCGACGCCAGAGTCGTCAGCCGGCGCGCCGCCGGCTCCGAAGGTGAAGGCAGCTGCGGGCGCCGGTGCAGTCGAGCCGTTGCTGCTTGAGGCAGCGGCAAAGCCAAAGGCGGGCGCGGCCGGCGCCGGAGCAGGCGCGGAGGAGGGTGCTGCTGCCATCGCTCCAAATGTGAAGGTTGGCGCTGCGGCGGGCGGCGCAGCCGACGAGGTGCCGAGCGCAAACGCGGAGGCGCCAGCCGGCGCCGGCGCCGCTGGCTTGCCAAAGGAGAAGATGGGCGCGGGGGCAGGCGCCGCGCCGCCCGCGACGAGCTGCACGTTTGCAAACGGGTTTGCAGCAGGAGCGGCGCCGGCCGCACCGGCCGCGCCGCCCAGCAGGCTCGCTCCGCTGGCCGCTGGCCTCTTGGCCTTGCGCATCTTGCGCTGCTGGAGTGTCGCCTCGTCCGCCTTCTGCCATGTGCCCGGATCGGCGGAGGTCTCGCCGTCGTCCTGGTTCCAGTTGTCCTTCGTGAGCTCCGTGGCGGCGCCACGCTTGCCGCTCATGGGAAGCAGCACGCAAGCGTGTCCAAAGAAGAATACCGCTGTGCCGCGAGCGAGTTTTGTCGTGAAATTTCTTTCCTCGCGATGTCTGCCCCGCCGCGCCGCCGCTCGCGCCGCCTCGCCGCCGCCTCCACCGCCGCGCCCTGGCCAGACACGCCGCCGCCAACCCGCCTCCTCGACCTCCCCACGGAGCTCCTCTTGCGCGCCCTCTCTCGCTGCGACCCCGCCGACATCGCTCGCGTCGCGGCCGTCTCGCTGCTCTTCTACGCCTCGCTTGCGGTAGAGGGCATCCGCTTGTGGGCGCAAGAGCGCGGCTTCGAGCTGCCGGCGCAGCCAGAGGACGAGGGCTGTGCCGTGCGGTGGCTGTGCTTCGCTGCGCTGCTGCGCGAGTCGAACCCGCCGGCGAGGCTGGCAGCAGGCGGCTATCACAGCGTCTTCATTGACGGCGAGGGGCGGCTCTCGTCGTGCGGCTCACAGCCGATCTGGCTCCCTTTTCCAGGACTGCTCGGCCACGGCGAGGGCGTGACGCGGCTCAACTCGCCGACCCGCCTCCCTTCTGCGCTGGGCGGCGAGCGCGCCGTGAGCGTGTCGGCTGCAAGCTGCTACAGCCTCGCCCTCACCGCCGACGGAGCTGTCTGGAGCTGGGGCCACGGCATCTCCGGCCGGCTGGGCCACGGCGACCAGGAGGACCAGCTGCTGCCGAAGAAGATCGAGGCTTTTGCTGACCAGCATGTCCTCGCTGTGTCGGCTGGAGCCTGCCACAGCATCGCCCGCACCGCCGACGGCGCCGTCTGGAGCTGGGGCTGTGGAGCAGGCTATGGCCAGTTGGGCCACGGCGACTACCAGAACCAGTGGCAGCCGAAGAAGGTTGAGGCCTTCGCTGGTTGGCGTGTCGTCGCTGTGTCGGCTGGAGAGTACCACAGCCTCGCCATCACCGCCGACGGAGCTGTCTGGAGCTGGGGCTGTGGACGCGGGGGCCGGTTGGGCCATGGCGACGGGCAGGACCAGCTGCTGCCGAAGAAGGTCGAAGCCTTTGCTGACCAGCGCGTCGTCGCTGTGTCGGCTGGCTACGCGCATAGCCTCGCCCTCACCGCCGACGGCGCCGTCTGGAGCTGGGGTGTGGGATACTCTGGCCAGCTGGGCCACGGCGACCAGCAGACCCAGCTGCTGCCGAAGAAGGTCGAGGCCTTTGCTAGTCGGCGCGTCGTCGCTGTCTCGGCTGGAGGCAAATACTGCCTCGCCCTCACCGCCGACGGCGCTGTCTGGAGCTGGGGCGATGGAGGCTTTGGCAGGCTGGGCCACGGCGACGAGCAGGGCCAGCTGCCGCCCAAGAAGGTCGAGGCCTTGGCTGGCCAGCGCGTCGTCGCTGTATCGTCGGGAAGCGACCACAGCATCGCCATCTCCGCCGACGGCGCCGTCTGGAGCTGGGGCGGTGGTGGCTATGGCCAGCTGGGCCACGGCGACACGCAGAGCCAGTCGCTGCCCAAGAACATCGAGGGAGCGGTCCGGGGCAGCAGTGAGGAGTGAGCGCTCAGGTGGAGGGGGGGGGGAGGGAAACAGAAGGTTGATCAGAGACGTGTCCAGATGGCAGATAGTGAGAGGCGGACCTAAAAGGTTCACAGGTCAGCGCGAGCAGGAGCGTTGCGAGGGGCTACCGGCTGCAGCAGCTCTGCCCGGTCCTGACTGAGGAGGAGGCGTCGGAGCTGACTACACACCTCACGGCCGCTAGCCCACAGCACTTCGGCACGAGCGCGCCCTCTCTCGGTGTCTATTTTTTTGTGACTCTCTCCTCGTTTTTATTTATTTATTTATGTACTCTCTCGTCTCCTCTTCCTTCTCCCCTTCTTGTATGCTTTGCACATCGCGTCGATTGCTTTTCGCGTGAGACTAGGTCTCCAGCCCTGGGTGAGCCAGATCTGACGTTTTGGGACATCGCGTAAGAACCGTGTTTTTCTCGTTGTTTTGTCGCTCGCTCCGCTCGCCACCTCACGCTCCGTAGCCCGGCCATGGCCAGTACCCCGCGTCTCAGTGAGACGCGTGGTACCATCCAACTCCGGTCGACGGGCTCGAATGCGCTCAGCCTCAGGAGGGACAAAACCGCGCGAATTCTGCACGCCTCGCTGCACCGCTGGCTTGACTGAATCAGGCAGCAGCAGGCTGCTGCTGTTGCCACAGCAGCAGTCTGCTGCGGCCCCAATACGCAGGTTAATGACCAGCATTACTGCCGGGGGCATTCGAGCCGCCACAGCCGGTGTACGGCTGTGCACTGCCACCTGCCCGCGGCTACGCACAATGTGCGCTCGCATTGGATGAGCCCTGCTGATGGACCTGCGTCGCCTAGCTGCACGAGAGCAATGCCGCAGGCGGCGGCCGTGGCATACACTGCGAGCACACTCCGGTGCAGCTGCGAGGTGCAGCAAGAGCACGTCGTTCCTGCCTCTGATGCCACTCTCGCGGCTTGTAGCGCGTCACTCGCGCATGCTCTCCAGGAGCTATGGCGGGCGCGTGTGTGGGGCTGTAGCCTGTGTTTGGCCGGTTCTGACCCGTTTACTATCAGTACCATGCCTGGGCCACAATAATCGCACACGGGGAGCGGCTCAGGGACCCAGTAAGCCGCGGAATCGCCAAATGTCACAACCCGGCTCACCCACAGGGCTGGACCTAGTCGTGAGCACCACCCTGAAGCCCGCCCAGAGCACAGCTGCCAACACTACAAGACTGTGTGTTGTCTTCTATTCACACATTTAGCCCGAAAGAACCCGAAGCGTTCAAGCAAGCGCTCCAAGTCGCAAGTGCTACAGAGCTCCACAAGCCAAAGCAAAGGAAGCGCTAACGTCTAACGACGTTGTGTGACAGGCGCGCACAGCCCGCGCGCGAGTTCGAGCCCGCGCGAGACTACTCCTCGAGAGCACCCCCGCTGACGCCAACCGAACCACCCTCCCCACTCACACCTCACGCTGAGAATACGCTGAGCCACGACCGTCGCGGCCACGACTTAACAACCTAAACGCCCAACTGCCCCCACCCCAGCCTCGCGGCAGTGACCGGCGTCAGGAGAGCCCGCCGAAGATGTGGAAGAAGCCGTTGCGGCTGCGGGCGGGCGAGGAGCTTCGCGCACGAATGGGCGCAGGGGCGTCTGTCGCCTCCACCGTGCGCCCCGTCGGCCGGGATGGCGGAGCCTCAACCTCCACGGGTCCGGCGCCAGCGGAGGGGGAGCCTCGGGAGCCTGGGGAGGTGGAGGCGGCGGCAGCAGAGGTTGCGTCTGAGGCAGACCATCCCGCCGTCGCCCTCGCCACCCCCTGCCTCGCCGCTGCCTCGGTCGCCGCCGCCGCCCTCGCCGCTGCCATCCTCGCCGCAGCAGCCGTCTCCGCGGCCCAGCCCGCTGCCGTCCTGGCAATCCCCCCCTCCCTCTGGCATGGCTTGGCGCAGCTCTCGCTCGACTCCGCCGTGGGGTTCTCCGGCAAGGGCGCGAGGGGAGGCCGGTACGGCAGTGGAGGTGAGCAGGAGGGAGGCGCCGGAGGCGTGCCCTCCACGACCCTCAAGCCCTCGACTGGCTGGCCGCCGGGTGCACCGGAGTAAAGGAGTCGGTCCAGCCGGTCGAGGTCAGTCACCACCTGCTGCAGGCCCCAGCGGCGCCAGGCGAGCAACGGCAAGACGACCACGCCCAGCGTTAGTAGCAAGCAGCGCAGCAGCCGCAGCGACGCCTGCGAGGAGCGCACATCGCCGCTCGCTCCGGTGGAGCCGTCGTCGCCGCGACCCTCGTCGCCGCCCGGCGCGTTGGGCAAACGCCAATCGCGGCAGATGGTCAGCGGCGTCGACCGCACCAAGTCGGCGCTGCGCGCCTCGTTTGAGCGCAACCTGTCGGATCTGTGCGACCCCTCGGGCCGCTCCTCCATCGCCGACTCCTCCGACCGCCTCGAGCGCGAGCTTAGCGCGGCTGGCGAGCTCAACGAGGCGCAGAAGCAGCTGCTCCGCTCGGTCAAGATCTCGCAGCCGGCTCCGACGAGCCCCGTGCTGAGCTTCTCCAAGTCGCCCGTGCCGCACCGCCGCTTCGCCTACCTCCCACACTCGTCGGAGGACAACCACCCCGAGTCGCGCGCGCCCAAGGCGGCCAATCTCTTCATCGCCACCGGCGGCGGGCCTGGCTTCATGGAGGCGGCCAACCGCGGCGCGTCGCGCGTGCCGGGCGGACGCTCGGCGGGCATGGGGATCTCGCTGCCGTTCGAGACCGGCCTGAACCCGTACGTCACGCCGGAGCTCGCCTTCGAGTACCACTACTTTTTCACGCGCAAGTTCGCAATGGCCTACTACATGCAGGCGCTGGTCGCCGCGCCGGGCGGTTTCGGCACCATGGACGAGTTCTTCGAGCTGATCACGCTCAAGCAGACGGGCAAGATGAACCAGGCGATGCCGGTCGTCCTCTTTGGCAAGAAGTACTGGAACACGGTCGTCAACTGGCACGCGATCGCTGACTTCGGCACCATCAACCGGAAGGAGGTGGACGAGATCCTCTTCACTGACTCGGTGGACGAGGCCTTCGACTACATCACGTCCGCGCTCGAGAAGATGCTCAGCTCCAAGGCGTGAGGCTATCCATCCATTGGAGCTGGCGCGAGGCGATGTGCGGGGCAACGAGGCATGATGCGTGCCGCCCCAGCCTCGAGGTGAAACGGCTTGTCCATGTGCGGGCGGCTCCAATCATCCGCCGAGTGCGATCGGATGACGAGTCGGGACCCGAGTTCGAGCGCCTTCGACGCGTGTGTGAGCGCTGCCTTGTCTAGTCACTTGCTTGGGGCGGAGAGAGCGAGAGTCGCCGCGTAGCTTGTTGCGCGCGCCGCGCGTCCCATAGACCTCATACTCGTGCTCCGAGTCCAACCTGCAACCATACCGTACTAGTGCGCTCTACGGAGGTCGGTGCACGCGGTCCTGTGTCAGCGCATGACAGGTGATATGGTGCGATGATGATTATTGTTAAATGTTTTACTCCGGCCCAGGAGAGCGGCCCGCCAGCGGGAACCGCCCGCAGCCGCACCACCCATACCCCGCACACGACCGTACGCACGTCGCCCCGTAGCCGTACGCCGAGGGCCTCGAGCCGAGGCCCGAGGGGGCGGCACACCATCCTGCGGCACCTCTCACGTGAGGTGGACTGACCTCGAGGGACTGACGACTGTCGACTGACGTACACAGAGTCAGAGAGAGAGGAGCGCGCCGGCTCCCCCTCCCCGACAAGCCCCCCCGCGCGGAAAGCACCGCAATGCGCACCCAGTCGAGAGTCGACACGATCCCACCCGTCGATCGCGAACGGGCAATCGGCAGAAGTTCGGCCGCGCGCGCGCGGCCGTGCGCGCGGCATCGACGAGCGACGTGCTCGGCACTGCAACGAAGTCCAACATTGGCGACGGGGTGGCTAGTCAGGCCGGTTCTCGAGGCCGGCTCGAGCGGCGTATCCGACGACCTACCTCCTCAAGCTCTCGCCGCGTAGTAGAGGCCGATCCCGCTGACCGAGAGGGCGATCCCGCCCAAGAAGCCGAGCGAGGGGACGTTGCCGAGGACGACGCACGTGGTCAGCGTCGCGAAGACGACCGGCCACGGCTTCGAGATGGCGTACAGCACGTTGCCGCCGGCGGAGATGGTCAGCGCGATCAGGACCGCGCTCGCCGCCTTGAGCGCCACCACGAGCCGTGAGGACGTGTCTAGGACGTGTCTAGGACGTGTCTAGGAGGCGTCTAGGAAGGCGCCTTGAGCGCCACCACGAGCCACACCCACGGCGCGCGGAAGGCGGCGAGCAGGGCGGCGGGCGAGGGAGGCACTCCTCCCGACCCGAGGATAGCCGCCTGCGGGGGGCACGAGGGGGCGTGTCGCGGAAGAGCCCGCCGCCTGGCTTGGCCGGGCCCACGGGAGGGCCGCCGAGCGGACGGCGGACGAGATGGCGAGCCTGCGAGGGTGGGTGTAGCTCAGAGAAGGCTCCGCGGGACGAGACGGCGAGCATGGGCCAAGGCTGTGCGGGGGCTGGGAGGGGCCGGGGAGGGAGGGAACGGGAGATTGGCTGGGCGAGGCGGCGGGTGGCGCGCCAGAAAGTGATCATCGCCGTCAGCTGCACGTTGCGGACCCACAAGTCGCAGCCTGGCTCGCGCAGCTGCCGCTCGTACGCGACGTTTGCGAATGACGTCATCGCCTGCGCTTCCGGACGCGGCGAAGTGTCTCTGTAGTGTCTCTGTAGTGTGTGGGAGGAGGGGGCTTTCGCCTGCGCGCAGAGCAGCCCGGCGATGCCGAGCGCGCGGTTGCCGCTCGAGGCTGCGACGCCGGTCGCGACGTCCTTCAGAGCGACGAGGACAGCGCCGCCGAAGAGGCAGCTCAGGCCTGCGGAGGAAGAATGAGCAGCTCCGGGCCTGCGTCAGACGCGAGACAAGACACGCCCCGACCATAGGTCTTCTCCCCGAGCATCCGAGGCGACTCCATCTCGGCGGCGTCTCTCGGCGGCGTCTCTCGGCGGCGTCTCTCGGCGACGTCTCGGCGACATCTCGGCGACGTCTCGGCGACGTCCTCTCGGCGACGTCCTCTCGGCGACGTCCTCTCGGCTAGAGCTCGCCGAGCATCTGCTGCGGCCGGAGCGGGCCAAGCATGCCACGCATGCGCAGCGCCGCGACGGTGAAGAAGATCTTTGCCTGGGCGAGGACGGTGTAGGTGACGGCGCCCACGTTCGACTGCGCGAAGAAGTAGAGCATGTTGTCGAGGGCGTACACCGAGCCGATGGCGCTCCTGCGGCCGGCGGAGGGCGGCGGAGGCGGTGGAGGCGGCGGAGGCGGCGGAGGGCGGCGGCAGACGGCGGAGGGCGGCGGAGGCGGTGGAGGTGGTGGTGGCTTCAGCCGTCGAGAGGGGTTGGGGGGGGGGGGGTCGAGGGCGAAACGGGAGACGGGAGGCGGGAGGAGACGCACAGGCGGAGCGGCTGTTCGGTGATCGCTCTGCGGAAGACGGCTCCGATGTCGCGATCGCCAGCGGCGGAGGCGCCGCGCAGCCGGCGCACGCCATTCCCGACGACCAGCCAGGCCACGATCAGCGGGAAGATTGCAATCTCAGAGACCAGCGCCTGGCGGCGGAGGCAGGCGGCGGTGAGTCGGGAGGCTGAGGCTCACACCGGCGGCGGAGCGGGGCGCCATTGCGGTCGCTGGCGGTCGCCGGACGTGGTTGGTGATGAGGTCGGTGGCCGTCTTGACCGATACGAGGGAGAGGAATGGCACCACAGCAGCGAGCGACAGCATGGCAGGCGTGCTGGCAGCAGCTGCTCCATCTCCCACGGGCGGCTGCTGGCAGCAGCTTGGCGGCGGAGCGCGATGTCGGCTCACGCACGCGAGACGAGGGCCACCAGCAGCGAGCAGCGGCCGTGCCAGCGGCGTAGGCCGATGGTAGGCTGCAGCGCCAGAGGACCAGAGGACCAGAGCGACGACCATCTGGACGATCGAGCGACGTGTGGTCCGCGCCTCGGATGGCGAGCTCGGGGGAAATTCTTTTTGCCATTTTGTAAGCCCGAGCCTAGCTGTTCGGCGCCTTCCTACCTACCCGTATTGCGGTCGCGCTCGAAAAAATCCACCAGTCCGCAGTGCTCTCTTGCCCGGAGCCCGATGCCAATCATCTGGCCCGCTGGGTGCGCTTCTTAGCTCCCCCCCCGGTCCTGGACGTGCGGTTGCCGACTGCACTCCAAGTGCTCCAAGTGCCTCCCCATGTGAGGCTCGCGCTCAGAAAAGAACTTTACGACGAAACTTCCTCAGCAGAAATAACGCTGTGAGCTGAGGGAAGGGTGTAGAGGATGTAGAGTGTAGAGCGCTGTAGAGCTGTAGAGATGTAGAGCGCTCTGGAGCGCTGTAGAGCTGTAGAGCTCTACATCCGCCGCGTGACGAACTGCGTGCGTTGTAGAGCGATGTAGAGGCGCTCTACAACGTGAAATCTCTACAACAAACTCTACATGATAAGCGGCGAACGAGGCACGGTCGCTCTCCGACATGAGGCGCGTTGCACTTGCCAGTGCTGCCCTGGCCTTCTGTCTGCCCGCCCAATGGGTGGCAGGTGCCTCTGCTGCTGTGGCATGCCTCACGGCTGCGACTGGCCGGCGCCTCGGCGCGTCAGCTCGGCTCGGCGTAGCGATAGCCGATAGTGGCCAGCGCAACTCGCCTGGACTCAACGCTCAGGCCAGGAGCTCCCGCACGCGCTGGCGCGAGTCATGGCGCATGCAATGCGCCTGAATGCTCGCCTCGCCTCGCGCAAATGCGACCGTCCTCGCAGCCGACAGTCCGCCGCCTGCTAAAGAAGCACAGCTACGAATGCGGCACCGGCGACGTATGGCAGGCTGGTCATGACGCAGTTATAGGGTGTTGTGTGCCGTCAGAGTGACTCTCTGTGTAGTCAGGGCCGTCCATCAGAGCTCCAGTAAGCTGGGAGACACCCCATTAGCGCGGCTCGACCTCTTTAAGCCACTGCCTTCCCGGCGGTTTGGCTGTAGAGCCTCTACAACAAACTCTACAGCAAAATCGCGCTCTACATCGCTCTACAACGCACGCAGTTCGTCACGCGGCGGATGTAGAGCTCTACAGCTCTACAGCGCTCTACATCTCTACAGCTCTACAGCGCTCTACACTCTACAACTACATCCTCTACACCCTCCCTCAGGCTGTGAGCTGCCGTCAGCTGTGTGAGCTGAGCTTGGGAAGAGGACCGCCGCAAGCGGCGTGGCGTGGAGCGGTTGAGCATCCCTCCGGGGGCCCCTCTGCGCCGGGGAGGCGTTGTTGGAGGCTGGGACGCAAGATCTGCTGTCTGGAGTGATCTGTCGGCGGTCAGTACGACCGATCAGGTCGGAGTTTTCTGATGGTTGGAGGGTCTATCTGTATGTACTCCTCGAGGTCTCTCCAAATCTACCCTCTGATTAACCTAGCTTAATCGGGAAGTCGGTGCTCTGAGCGACTCTGAGCGCCGGAGCCCCGTTTCCGCACTGCGGCGCGGCGCACGGTGCCTCCGGGGGCCCCCGCCTCCCCCCAGAGCCAGAAAGAAAAAACATCCGCACCGCGCGCATGCTCGTTGGGACCTTGGAGCTTGCATGGTGAGATGGTGACCCCGTCCTTCTCCCCCATGGGAGGCAGAGCGTATAGTTTGCGCTTTCTTTCTTTCTTTTATGCGCGCCAGTCCGGTGTTGTGCGAGGGAGTTTCCTTGTAAAATTCTTTTATGCTGGGCGACGCCATACTCAACACACCTCGAGCTGAACGTGAGAAGAACGTCGTATTCCCTGGAGCGTGTTCTGTCCGCACGTGTCTGCCAACCGTTTGACGCCATACCGTACGGTGGTACGGACAGTGGTTTGTTGCGGTGCTTCCCGGCGGGCATCACGCTGGCGTGCGCTCGCTGCTCGCCAAGGCTCGCGCGCTTCCGCGTGATGGCTGGCTCCGCCGCCTCTCGGCGCTCACTCACTTGATCGCCTTGAGGGAGTACCACAGCCCGACCACGTCCATGACGAGGAAGGGCAAAAAGCTGGTGCCCAGCTTGTAGTCCTAATGGGCAAGTTCGAGGCGGTCGCAGAGGGTCGCACCACGCCGCAACCCGCGGCAGAGGCGTGGCTGACGCACCTTCTCGATGAAGAATTTCAATATGCAGTCGCCTGTTGAGGAAACACAGGAGCGCGCGGTGAGGAGGAGCCGCCGCGGGCGAAGCGACTGAGATCCGGCGCTCCCGTCTCACGCCACGTGGCGGCGAGGAACGACGCCTGGTAGGCCACATTTGTCCCAACGCACAGAGCCCACCCACAGGTGGATAGCGGCGGGGAGGCTGTTCCGGATGCCCCTACAGTCAGCCCGTTCCTCTATGCCGCCG